CATCAACGACCAGAAATTACATTCAACAACACCATAAATATGGCTTACCCAACAACAAATATTTTTCAATACCAAATTTGCAATTACTACCCGGTGATGGGTTCACATCTGCAGATATCACCACTATAAATATCAATATTAATTTGTAATAAGATGAATGAAATTAACCTTATCATTGTGATGTGCGAATGTGAACAAGAATGATGAAATTCCAACGATAAAACTATCAATAAAATCACCTCAACGTGCAATATGCAAATGATGAAATTATTCTCTATTATTATCACAATGTAACTCTTAATAAGAACAATGCACAATCGTCACTCTTCAATTGCAGCAATCGAACTGGATTTCAATCACACCAATACGATTGCATCAATAAAAATAGCGACAAATGAGTCATCCGTATTCAAGACTCCTTCCCAATGATCGAAAGGAACGTCCACAACTGTATTCAATATTTTCATATCCTCACCGTATGTAACGACAATGGAACTTTATGAAAAAAATGAAATATCTTTCGAATGAAATGAAAAATTCCCTAAACATCAGATAAAACCAACAGATGGACAAAGTATCATCAAGCGATCAGATGACATCCAAACGCTGACAAAGGAAAGATTTCTCATCATTAAAACAATCAACCTATAAGCCACGATATATCAATCTTATTGAATTTTCCTTTGAAGTAATCTTTCGCGGATAAATGATTCAAGAACTGATAAAAATCACACATCGCAATATACGAGCAAATCCAAATGAATATGAATTTGACAGAAAAACGAAAATATTGTGCAAATAAGAGAGTGCAGTTGGCATATGGCCACTGTTCGGTGTAGCGTCACAGTGCCAATCAAAACGAAATAAGCGAATTCCACATCAAAATCCGACCTGTTACATTCGATTCCAACAAATCCTCCTTTTTTAAAACGTCACTATTTTGAAACATATTAGATACATGCCGGACATCCTGATGTAGCATTCCAAAGAACGGCAAAAACACTTACTAACTCAATCAAACAAGTTCTCTGAAGTCAAGACGAGACAATACTTTCTTCTGGGTATGTTTTGTTCAGACGGCCCCGTTATCTCTAGTTTTGAACAGTAGATATGAAGAAGTCAGTTGTACTTAGAAGTTTCATGCAGTTTCTTTTCTTTTTATCACCTTGCCGCGATTCACTTCTGCGCATTACTTACATAGCAGCGTCTGGTCAACTCATCTTATCAGCAATACGACGCCTTTTTGCAATGATTCGTGTGGTGCGCATAACAACGATTCATGTATTTCTTGATTATTTAGTTTACATTATTGACACCTATTTATTATGAGATCAACGAAGGATTTTCATCCACAAATCTGCTGTGAAATTTCTGCAATCTCCATTGCTAAATGCAACCTGCTTTATGTGGAATGTTTTCGACATCTTTTCGTTGCGGCACAAGGACACTGAATGCTAAGCTGAGCCCTAGGTTGNGAATGGAATTCTAAAACTCTCTCCAATGTTCAAACCAGTTAGGATCATCACTTTCGCAATTCGTTTTAATTTTGATAATTTTTATTACATTTTCATGTTAATAACAATAAAAACGGTGAAAATTTCTTAAAACTCCGTCTGTTAATTATTAATAAAAAGAGAGCAGTGTCGGGTGAGTGACTACCCCTAGAATGTAGTCACACACTGCCCTCTTTAATAAAGCTTTCAAAACTTTCTTAACCTTATCCACCAAATTTCAGTTCCGTTGAAGAATGTGATCTCTCATTAACATTGAGCTCTACAAAAGAGCTCAGTAACAGTGTACAATAGCAAACGTACCCCTGCTAAGGGGGTACCGAAATAACATTTATCTTAATAATACTATAAGAAAAACCCTTGAAGAGGGTTTGCAAAACATCAATACAGAATAACATTTGAACCCATCCCTATCAAAAAGATGCAATAATTCTACAATTCAATTACGATTATCGAACTGTACGAAATTAAATAAAGGACAATGTTGGGTGAAATACAACTGCATCTAGGATACAGTTGCATTAACATTGCCCTCAATATTAATGAAAAAAACAATGATAGTAACACAGAACACATAAAATAATATAGAATAAAAAGATCAGTAAATATTAATTGTATTAATTAACGCATAAAAAATTTTCTCTATATGCACACAATATCAATGTGTTCTATAGAGAAGGATCATTTTACAAAATGAGTCCCATAAATAAATAAGACTCATAACTTGAAAAAGAGAATTGAAATTTCTTCGAACTCTCATAAACACAGAATGTTTTTAGGTGAGGGAAGGCAATTGCAACTGGCCTTTGGCTTTTATAAGTCCAACCGTAAAACTATTATGAAATTCCTAATTTTTCAACATCAAGGGAAGGATCGAAATTCCCTCCTTATTTGTGTCCTTCCACAGTTATGGAAGGGAAACACAACAAAACGCAACAAAAAATAACTGCATTCAAATCATGAAAATGGTCATAAAAAGTTGAGATTTGAAAATGAAATATAATCGAGATAAGCTCAAATAATACAAATCATCGCATCACATCCTACATAAGCAATGCAGTACAAATACAAACAATACAACATATCATCGCATCACATCCTTATTAAAAAACATCAAATTCACTCATTGAAAAATAGAGAATATATTTAATTAAAATCAACAAACAATACGAATGCTATTAAGCATCGTATCATATCCTTATTAAAAAACAGCAAATTCACTAAATGAAAAATAGTGAATGTAATCAGTTAGACTCAACAAACGATACAAATGCGATAAAACATCGCATTACATTCTCACTACAAAATATCAAATTCACTATTAGCAAAATAGTGAATGTGATTTACCAAAATCAACAATCAAGACAAATGCGATCAAGCATCGCATTACATTCTCATAATATCGAATTCACTATCAGGGGAATAGTGAACATAATTTTTAAGAATCAATATACAATACAAATGCGATCGAGCATCGCACTGTATTTTCATTACAAAATATCCAATTCACTATTAGAAAAATAGTGAATGTAATTAATTATTGTAACCAAATTACGAATAAAAACCTTCATTAAAGATGAACATTCAAAAAATATTGAGCCACTTGTGGCTCATGAGAATAATAATAATAAGTTGTTGCCGATATAGAGCCGCCTGGTGCTTACGGCCGGTGAGCATAATTCATAACATCATTTCTTGCAACTTCGCACATCCTGATGGGCTTCTTTTACACGTAAATCGGGTGCGTCAGGTTGCCAATTCTGACCACACTTATTGACTAACAAGATTTCATTTTGATTTCGATTCTGAAAAATTTTGAGTAAAGAATNGCACGAGCAATATTAATAACAATATTAACTGCCCCGACGATCCTTTATTTCTTTCTCAGGAAACAAGATGAATCTGAACACGTACTAAATTTTACCTTCATTATATTTTCCAAAATTCTTTTTCCAAAAATAACACCCTCATTAATAAAGTGAATAAACTGACCAGTGCTACACTATCAATAATCTCACTGAACACTACCTACCCATTGCATGGTGCGTCATCACTCTAATCCAATGCATTTGAAATAACACCGGTACAAGTTAAAGCAAAATAAAACTCGAATGAAAAAAGTGCAATGGATAATTAAAAACTCAAAATAAAATCTCAGTACTCACCAAGTTGAGCAGACACGTGCCCAACATTTGCTCAATCCAAAAAATCCGCCAAAGAATTCGCAACATTTGAACAGATAATTGTTTGGCAACAATCAATAATATGCGTGTCGAAACAGTTCACGCTTCATCACTCATCGAATACTTCACTTTAGAGTCAGGATAGAACCATGCTCACCTCTTTTTCCCATCAAAATCTAAAACCCAATTCAATTATCAATCAAAAGCTATGAGTCAAATTAAACTGAAAAGTTCTAAAAATAAAATTCTTACCATCTCACTGATCAGTTTATCATTTGCCTGAACGAAAAAATCTGTCAAAGGATTCGCAAGATTTGAACACACGATGATTTACGACAATGGATAACGTGCACATCGAAAGAGTTCACATTTCATCAATCACGAAATACCACGACCTACTGTCTGGGTGCAAACATGTTCATTGTCCTTTCTGCACCAAAATCTGAAACAAGATTCAGTTACCAATCAAAAACATTTAGCCAAAATAAACTGGAGAATTCTAACAGCAAAAATCTTACCTGTACGGAAAATTCCTCCTGAAGATACACGAAGTTCAAGATGGAGATTCATCACGCTCAATCAATTGCTGATTCGAACAATTCAGTCGCTAAATACCGCTGAATCGATGTTACCACTCGAAAGCCATACCACTCACAACGATGTTACCAATCGGAACCCACTCGGAAAGATGTTACTATTCGGACCCTCCACTCGACACCATCCTTGCCCTCGGCTGCACCAAAACCTGTAGAGCAATTCAATTATCAACCAAAAGCTCAAGCTAAGCATTAACTAGAATATCCGAAAACTTTCCTACTATACCCATTCTCTCATGATCCATTCATTTCAACGTTCTTTACATGATTTCCTCAACATGCCACCTTCAATCACTTCCTTTCTTCATTAAATTCGAAACTGATACCAGCACTAAAAAGCAAAAATGCTCACCTTCCTACCCGGTCTCTGCCATCAAAACCATCACGTCACGCCCACATATGTTTTGTTGTGTTATGTTATCTGTTAATGTGTTAATGAGAGCCAGATGTCTGAAATAAATTAATATTAACGTTATTCAAATGTTGATAACATTATGAAAAGATCACATTGTGTTATTACATGTGCACTTTTATTTTATATATCACTTGCCATAAATAAAGTATCGATGAAGACTTATTCTATGAAAAATTGCCTCAAGTTTTTAGAGGTGGTACTGCTTATTAAAACTTACTACATGCTGCATCAGGACCATTGGTAGTAAGTTGGTTAAATTGCTGTTATTTGCTGCTAGCTGACGATGTTATTGCTGTTAGACGATGTTATTGCTGCCGACGATTGTTAGTTGTTCTGTTACATGGTTCTCCTTCGCTTCCTTTCGGCGCCCACTCCAACTTCCGCCGCCGAGGTCGCTCCAGGGACCGCGATAAAGGATGTATCGCGGCCGAGCTCCTGGAGGCGCTCGGCGGTATCCATCCTCGCGACCACCGCCTTCTTCGGCGCCGCCGCACACCTCTCGGCGCGGTGTGCGTCCATGCGTATTGTTATTTGCCTCGCCGAGAGGCCCTCGGGCACGATGACGGTGTGCCCGCACCATGTACAGAACGCTGAAAGTCAAGGCATTATACAGTACAGAAGGCATTATTCAGTTCGATGGTTTAATGGTATTGAATTCATTGCTCTGATGATCTGAGACGATTTCACATTCACAGAAATTGTCTCGATCATTGCAGAGATTATTAAAGTGTTCGAGCGACTGCTGTCCTCGGATTGTCATTATCAGTCACCAAAAATGACCTGAACAGTTCAGAATATGGAAATAAACCTAATGTAAACAAATGACGATCAATTTTGAAAATGTAAAAAATGTTTCGCAACGTACTGTTAGTTTCGTGGCACTTAGCCCGCCTCACGTGTATTTTCCAGGCGGCTACCGTGGAAAACGGAGTAGCACGCCTGGCGCAGCCCGACAGCTGGCAAACTGAAATTAGTGGATGATGAGAAAAATCTACTGATGTGCTATAAATTATTGCTCATAGCACTTCAATAAGGGTATAACTTGGACACTATCAACAAATCACAATCACATAGAGTAATGCGAATTATTCTGCACGACTAGGCATTCATCTTGTTGAATCCGCATTGCAAGTATTCAGTACCTAATGATCGAATTATCACAGTGTTTAAATATATTCTTAAAAATACTTACAGACTTTGTTGTTAACGACTTTGTATGGTGCTGGTATTGTGTTAACCAGCTCGGCTGCGTGTTGTGTTGGTAAATTAGAAATGTTAGCGGCCTCAAACCGCGGGTTAAGACGTATTGTTAGTGGACTCGCCTCGCGGCGAGGATGACGACTGAAAGCACCGAACAAATTATGGATTACTCATCTATTCCTGGAATCCTTTGGCTTCACATTTTCCAAAGTTTCCACATGATCAATAATGACTAATCGATTTATTTTCCCCAGATCTCATCAATCACAATTTCTGATTTCAACTTTTGAGCGTTTTTTAATGCACAAATTGATTGAGGTTACCATACCATACACTATACAAATGTAAATTCATTAGAACAATAAAGTAATATTACTGAGATGTTTATAACCTTTAAAGTCAGCAAAAACAAAAGAAAACTTACAAGTTATATGTACAATGAGCTGGGGAGTTAGTTGAGTCATGTGAAGTTGACGGTGAGTTAGAAGTTATTGTTAGAAGTGAGTTGTTGTCAGCAGCAGCAGTGTTAGTCGTAGGTGATGATGTTATTGCCGGTCCAGCTGGGAAATCTGGCCGGCTTGATGGTCCTGGCAGCGGCTCTTCTTCTTCGTTAATGGTGGGTAGTGGCGTCTGAAAACGAGATGACTGAAATATGAAATTCGATCGAAGATTTTGTTTCTGTCGCATGTTCCTCATCTCACAATGCACAAGCATAAGATTTCGAATTGATCTCAATGCATATTGCATTCAAATCTAATTAGAAGAAATAGAATTCACTTACGAAGGTTGGCTCTGACGCATGTCTCTTCCTGCCGTGTGCTGGGATTGGGCGGTTTAGTGTTCTTCCCTGAATCTAGTAACGACAATTAACGTTTGACATCGCAAAAACGAGCAACCTATCACTGTACTTATTACATCTTAACCACTCACTGATAATTGGCACATTCATTCAGACCATTCACTCACTGATCAGTGTGATCGACCATGCAACAAAACGGAATTTTTCGCACTAAGTGTCATCAACCAACCCTATCTAGCACTTTTTATTGCAACCATGAGGATTTTGGAATGACATGGGCTAACATTAATGAGAACGATGACTGATCAGTATCATCATTAATACCAATGGTGCTATCAGTATTGTCATCAATAGATATACCTTTAGGTATTTTTGCTTTGTTCACCAGACTCTTCTGTTCATTTCATAGAACTCAAAAAATTTCGGCAATCTTTCAAGTTGTTGTAATAGGTAAAAATCGGAATTTTGAAGGTTTTAAGGTCACCAATAATTTTTATAAGCAATTTCAAGTGCATACGTATTTGATGGTTGCTGTTGCGGGTGGTGTTACCGCCGGTACGTCCAATACGGCGTACGATCCACAGCACTCCGCGGCCTCCACTACTTTCTTCCCGGGCTTCCCATAAGCCCTAACCGGTGCGCCAGACTTCAGAGGGTGCACCACGAGGAGCACCTCCTCCATCCGGCAGAGGGCGTCCAACACCTTGTCCGGGATCACCCCGGTCCTCTCCATCTCCCCTGCAAAATGAAATAATTATTTAACACATACTCATAACGATAACGAAATTACGCCCTAGCTCGATAAATATCTGTTGTTCGATCATCGATCATCTTTCATCTGAATCAGTTCATTTCTGAGACCATTTTTCAGGCTCTCATATTTTCAGGATCGTGTATTTTGGTCGATTCACTCTCATTGTTAGGCGATTTTTATACAATACTCTATAAACTGCTCATAATACAGCTATTATCTATTGAAGCATTGGCTCGTGAACGGTAAGGAAATGATCTCTATTGCTTCAAGAATGGTGTAGAATTACGTTGGTACATTGCATAATGAATAAAGTTCATTTCAATTGGTTGAATTATTTCAATAATTGGTCAATTCAAACTCACTTATCCGGGCTCCGCTCAATGGTCCGGCATGACGGGCCATGACCTGCCATGTGGCCCAAATGTAGTCTTCAAACCGCAAATCTGCGGGTATTATCTGCAGGATCGTCAACACCTGCAGTAGTGTCTCACAGGGGATGCCGGTCACCCCCCTCGCTCTGAGCAGCCCTTCAAAGGGAGCCAATCTTGGGTCCTCATCCGAACGGGCCCTTTTTACTCCAGTTTGGCCTTCCATTTTATTTTTCTGCAATATTACTTTGCAGATCATAATGAACACTGAATTACAAAACAAACTGCATTAATAACACTCAAGCGGCACCAAAACACCCAAAAACAATAATGAAACTCAAAAATCAACCACAATCAATCACACAATCAAATCTCCAAATGAATGGATTCATATAGGAATATAAAAGGAAATAAGAACGGAGACAGGATCCATCATGAACGCGACGTCGACAAGATCTGTGGAATCAATAATGAACAGAGACAGAATGCGTCAAGGGATTCGCAAAAATTCATTGGGCTAAATTACTAGAATTCGAGATGACAATCAATTGATTTTTTGATGGGCCAGCAAATTAATCACGAAATACATCCTGAGATATAGATTCCATATTCTTTCAGATCAGGAATCCGTATTTTGCCGGAGTCATGGAAGTCGCATTGGCATCGTACATGCAATTTTGAAGACGATTTGATGTTAACGAATCCGAAAACAACGGCTGTATCAGTTGTGAATTGTGCAACGGCTATATCAGTTGTTAGTTATGCACTATGTCCGGTAGCGCAGACCCGCAAACTATATAGCAAGGTAACGAAATGGATAAGATGAGACAATATGATGAGAGGACATGAATGACTGCCAAAGGCAACTACCGAATGACATTTCAACGGAGTATTTTAACAGAATGTTGGTGATGATAATAGTACGATTGATCCTGGATTTCAAAAGATTGGTAAGTAGACAAACACGGAATCATAATTACATCAACTGATACGGTAGATTGTCGTAAGGAGATTGCCCATTTGATGAAAGACAATATCGCAAACCAGCTGTACAGATATTGTTCAATTTCAGAAGTATATCAAATAGGAAATCACGTAAAAATTTACTTGTGGTACTTGCACGTCAAACTGGCGAGTGAAATCGCAATGCAATGGCAAGGTAGCTTTTTGGCGTGGTTAGCACCAATAATTAATTACTGAAATTCAATATCAATTTTTCAATCAAATTTGCCCAACGATTTGTATTATGAATAGAAGACAGATCGCAATACACCTAGTGAACAACATTTTAACATCTATAGAATGCAAAGCAACATCACTTGCTTTGCATTCTTTGACAGATTCAATGAAACCATCTTGAGTAATTCAAGAAATTGATCATTAGTGGCAGATTTGAGCATTTCTTGTACTCGAATAGTCAAGAATTTTTTCGTTT